CTCTCCCTCCCTCCCTCTCTCTCTCTCTCTCCCTCTTTCTCTCCTTCTCCCTTTATCTCTCCCCCCTCTCTCTCTCCCTCCCTCTCCCTCTCTCTTCTAGCATTCTCTACTCCCTCTCTTCCTCCCCTCCCATCATTCTCCAATTTCCATGTGCCTCTCCCCCTATCCTTCACTATCTCTCCACCTATTGCTACCCTCTCCTATTCGTCTCATTCTCCAGTCTCTCTCCTATCCCCCTTCTACCTTATTTCAACACTCTTTCTATCTCTTCCCATTCTTCCTTCCTTCCTTCCTCTATCCTATCCCCTTCTTCTCCTCCTTCTATTCATAATTCCTCCATTTTTTCTGTTTCCTCGTTTATCCACTTCTTTCCTATCTCCTAACTACTTCTCACCTAATTATTATCTATATTCATGTATTTCTTTTATACGTCTTATTTTCGTATTTCTCGTCCTTCCTATTTTCATTCATATTTTTTTTTCCAAATTTTACCTCCTTTTCTTTATGCTTCTAATTCATGCTCAACCCAAAACGAGAAATGAAAAGAAGGAAAAGAAGAATAAAAAGAAATATACTATGGACAACATCCAGATATTTCTTATCATTTATTATTAACTAAGGCCCTGGTTTTAAAATCAGTATTTTTTTCATAACTTATGTCGTCTATAGTATATCTTTAACTAGCATGTAAGGCTATTACACAAGCACAGCATATAGTCACACTACCACGCACGCGNCAGCCGACGACACCCGACGGAGCCCCCGAGTGACAGCCGACGACACCCGACGGAGCCCCCGAGTGACAGCCGACGACACGCCGACGAGCCTCCCGACTGACAGCCGACGACCCGACGAGCACCCCGACTGACAGCCGACGGAGCCCCGAGTGACAAGCCGACGACAGCCCGACGGAGCCCCCCCGACGGAGCCCGACTGACAGCCGACGGAGCGCCCCGAGTGACAGCCGAACGACACCCGGACGAGCCCCCGACGGACGCCCGATTGACAGCGACGACACCCGACGGAGCCCCCGACTGACAGCCGCGGAGCCCCCCGGACGTGGACACCGACGGACCCGACGGAGCCCCGAGTGGACAGCGCCGACGGACCCGACGGAGCCCGCGCGGATGACATCGACGACATCGAGCCCCCGACTGACAGCCGCGGAGCCCCCGATGACAGCCCGACGGACCCAACGGACCCGACGGAGCCCCCGAAGTGACAGCCGACGGATTCCGACGAAGCCTCCGAGTGACAGCCGACGGACCCGACGCGGAACGAGGCCCCCCCGAGTGACAGCCGACGGAGCCCCCGATGACAGCCCTACGGAGCCCCACCGATGACAGCCGACGGGCCCCCGAGTGAATCGCCGACGAACATCCGACGGAGCCCCGAGTGACCAGCCGACGACACCCGACGGAGCCCCACGGGCCCCACCCGAGTGACACCCGACGGACCCAACGTGACACCCGAGGGCGGAGCCCCCGAGTGACAGCCGACGACACCCGAGACACCCGACGGAGGCCCCGAGTGACACCCCGACGGAGCCCCCGATTGACACCCGACGACCCCCGGAGCCCCCAGTGACACCCACGAGCCCCCGAGTGACACCGACGGAGCCCCCGATGACAGCCTGTGGAGCCCCCCGAGTGACACCGACGGACACCGACGGACAGCCCACCGAGTGACACCCGACGGAGCCCCGAGTGACACCCGACGGACGAGGAGTGACACCCGAAGCCCCCGAGTGACACCCGACCGGAGCCCCCCGAGTGACACCCCGAGCCCCCGAGTGAACACCCGACGGAGCCTCCGAGTGACACCGACCCGACGGAGCACCCGAAACCGAGTGACACCCGACGTGAGCCCCGAAGTGACACCCGACGGAGACCCCCCGAGTAGGAAACACCCGACGGAGCCCCGGTGACAGCCGACCGACGGAGCCCCCGAAGTGACACCGACGGAGCCCCCCGAGTGACAGCCACGGAGCCCCCCGAGTGACACCCGACGAGCCCCCAGAGTGACAGCCCGAAGGAGCCCCCGAGTGACACCCGAACGGAGCCCCGAGTGGACGCCGAAGCCCCGACAGCCTCCCGAGTGACGCCGACGGAAGCCCCCGAGAGTGACACCCGACGGCAGCCCCCGAGTGACACCGAAGGAGCCCCCGAGTGACCACCCGACGGAGGCCCCCCCCGAGTAGTGACCCGAAGGAGCCCCCGAGTGACACCCGACGGACGCCCCCCCGAGAGTGACAGCCGACGGAGCCCCCGAGTGACAGCCGACGGGACCGACGGACCCGAACGCTCTCATTTTCGAGACTCGTTAAAGATGGTTGGACGGCGGTCGCTTAACTCAAATGATAACTTCATTATTTTTCTCGGCGCTCGGGACTCTCTCTGTCGGGCCGAGGGGGGGGGGGGGTGGGGAGGGGAAGCGAATTTGTTTTGATGTTGTAGGGAGGAATATAATGTGCGGGGAAGGGCGTTGTGTGCGTCTGTATTCGTGAACGTGTAAGTATATACAGTCATACACGTGTTTTATACATCCGTTGCGCGCTTCTCTCGCTCTCCCTCCTCCCTCCCTCCCTCCGTCTCTCTCTCTCTCTCTCTCTCTCTCTCTCTCTCTCTCTCTCTCTCTCTCTCTCTCTCTCTCTTCTCTCTCTCTCCTTCTCTCTCTCTCTCTCCCTCCTTCATTCTCTCTCTCTCCCTCCCCCTCCCTCCCCTCTCGCTCTTCCTTCTCTCCGCCCTCTCCCTCTTTCCCCAAACAAAACAAACACACGTGACCCACAATGGCGACCAAGCCTCGTCCATCACACCACCGAACGGACAGCGAAAAAACGAAAAAAAAAAAAAAAAAAACACGTTATTTATTACCCTCAGACACGGACTTAGACTTCACTCGACAAAAAAAAAAAAAAAAAAAAAAAAGTTGATCTCACGCACCGGATGTCACGTGACGTCCAATCAATCAACAATGAATTGCAGTTTGATGCGTGTTGATACAATCACTCTCCCAGTCTGCGTGAACGGTTTAATCAGAATAATAAAGAAGAAAGAAATAAAAAAAAAAAGGAAAAAGAAGAGAAAACAAAATCTGCTATTTATAAACAGCAAACCTATATATTTTTTTCCTCTATTTTTATTACTATCTATTATAAACAGTAAATGAAATCTTTTCTCTCATTAATTACTATCTATTAATAAACAGTAAATATTGGAGAATAAAAGAAGAAATTATTAAAAAAAACTGCTATTTATAAACAGTAAATATATTTTTTTTTCTCTTTAATTACTATTATCTAATAAACAGTAAATGAACATCTTTTCTCATTATTAATTACTATCTATTTTTATATAAAACAGTAAATACAGAGAATAAAAGAAGAAAGAAAAAAAAACTGCTATTTATAAACAGTAAATATAGAGAATAATAAGAAGAAAAGAAAGGAAAAAAACTGCTATTTATAAAAGTATTTTTTTTCTCTCTCTTCTCCCCTATTATTACTATCTGGCATCTGCTCTGCCGTACACTCCCTTCCCTCGGCCAAACTACCGTAACATTTGCCGTCACCTCAGCACTCCCTGCTCCCCCCCCCCCCCCCCCTCTCCCCATCTCACCCCGTCCCTCTCTCTCCTCAGTCCTCCTCTCATACCCCGCTTCCCTCACCCTCGTCCTTTCCCCTCCTCTTTCCCTCCTCCAATCCCTCTCCCTCCACCCCTCATCCTCTTTCCTCTCCCCTCAGTCCTCTCCCTACCCCCTCTCCCTCACCTCATCCTCTCTCCTCTCCTCACAGTCCTCTCCCTACCCCCCCCCCCACCAACCTCTCTCCTCACCCCGTCCTCTTTCCCCCTCTCTCCTCAGTCCTCTCCCAATCACCCCCTCTCCCTCACCCTCATCCTCTTTCCTCTCCCCAATTTTTCCCCCTTTCCCTTCTCTCTGATCACCGCTCTCTCCTCCCTTCTTCCTCATTCCCTTATTCTCTTTTCTTCTCTCTCCTAACCCTCTCCTCTTCTCTCCCCCAACTTCGTCTCCTCTGCCTATCCTCAATCCTTTCTCTCCTCCTCTTCCCAATCTTCGCTCCTCTCCTCCTTCCCCAAAACTCTCTTTACTCTCCTCCCCCTTTCTTTTAACTTCTCTCCTCTCCTTTCTCCCAACCTCCGTTCCTCTCCTCTTCCTTCCTCCCTATCCCCGCGCCTCTCCCCTCTTCCCTCCCATCCTCCATTCCTCCCTCTCCCTCTTCCTCAACTTCCCCTCTCGCCTCTTCTCCTCTCCTCCTCCCTCCCCTCCCCTCTCCCACTCTCTCCTCTCCCTCTCCTCTCCTTCTCTCCCAACCTCCTCTCCTCTCCCTTCTCCTTCCTCCCCAACCTCCTCTCCTCTCCTCCTCCCTTTCTCTCCCAACCTCCTTCCTCTCCTCCCTCCCTAAACTCCGTTCCTCTCCTCCTTCTCTCCCCAACCTCCATTCCTCTCCTCTCCTTCTCTGCTCTCCTCCCTCCCTAAACTCCGTTCTCTCTCCTCCCTCCCTCCCCAACCTCCATTCCTCTCTTTCTTCCTTCCCTCTCCATTCCTCTCCCTCTCCTCCCTCCCAACCCCTCCTCTCCTCCTTCTCCCTTTCTCTCCCTCCTCCTCTCCCTCACCAACCTCCTCTACCTCCTCCCCCAACCTCCTCTCTCTCCTCTCCCTTCTCCCAACCTCCCCCCCCCCCCCCGCTCCTCCTCTCCACTTCCCTTCCCCAACCTCCCCCTCACCCCCCCCGCTCCTCCTCCCCCAACGCAACCGCATTTATTGCCCATCAACACTTCGCCTTGCAATGTGAGGCTTCCTTTCCCGTTTTCATTTCTATTTCCCATCTTCTTAAAATAAATTACATAATTGCATTCCTTTTTTTTTTGTTCCTGGATTCTATCTCGCATTTTTCTTTCTCTTCATTTTATTCGTCATTATGTATGTTAATCTTACTTCTTTTTTTTTGCAATTCATTCGTCTGTCTCTGTCTGTCTGTCTGAAAAATAAAAAAAACAACCGAACACTCATTAAAAAAAAAATAATTACTTGCACCGTAGTTCGAAATTAATAATCAGCTACAACAAAAAAGAAGGAAAATAAGCGAATAACCTATCACAGTAAAAAAAAAAAAAAAAAAAAAAAAAAAAAAAAAAAAAAAAAAAAAAAAAAAAAGGAAATTAAAAAAAAAGGAAATTACAAAAAAAAAGGAAATAATAATAAATAAAAAAAAACACAACCCTTCGTCGCAAAAGCATGACCTTGAAATTAACTCGCCAACTTCCGTTAGCGACTTCCGCCCTCGGACGTGACGGCAGGGGGGGGGGGGCGGTCCGGTTGGGCGGGCGGGCGGGCGTGACGCAACACCTGCCGCCCACCAGCGCTTTGGGGTCCTCCTCCGGCCGTTGCGAGCATTATCGCTACGATTACGCTGTCTGTCTGAGTCTCTTCCTTTCGCCGGTTTGTGTGTCTTTCTCCTATCTCCGTTTTCTGCGTCTGTTTGCCTGTATTTTGTATGTTTGTCTGTCTGTCTGTCTCTACATGCATAGATACACACTACATACATACATACACATACATACATACATAACATACACACACACACACACACACACACACCACTCACACATATATTTATACACACGCACACGCACATACACACATGCGTATAATGTGTATGCGTCTGTGTGCGCCCTCCTCTCCCTCTCCCTCTCCCTCTCCCTCTCTCCAACCCTCTCCCTCTCCCTCCCTCCCTCTCTCCAACCTCTCCCTCTCTCCCCTCTCCCTCTCCTCTCTCCAACCCTCTCGCCAAGGGGACCGACCTGGAACTCACGGCCCGAGCCATAAACATTTACAATTTCCACGAGAGCGACAAGTTTCCTCCCCGCCTATCTTCCCCCCCCCCCCCCCGAAGCAGCGCCGCCGTTCACGCCTCCGCTGGCCACGCAACAAGCCGTAGCCGGAATGGATTTGTCTTCCGTCAGAGTTGTGATTACAACCGCGAGATGCCGAGGACGGAAATTGGGAATCGCCGTGTGTATTAAAAGAAGATTGAGGGAGGGGGAGACGAGGAGGAGGTAAAGGAAGAGGAGGAGGAGAAGGAGGAGGATGACGAGGAGGAGGGGGAGGAGGGAGAGGAGGGGGGGGGAGGAGGGGGAGGAGGAGGAGAGGAAGAAAAAGGGGAGGAGGAGAAGAAAAGAGGAAGAGGAGGACTAGGAAGACTAGGTAAGGAAGAAGAGGAGGAGGAAAAGGGAAGGAAGGGGAGGAGGAAAAGGGAAGGAAGAGGAGGAGGAAAAGGAAAGGAAAAGAAGAAGAAAGAAAAGCAATAGGAACGAAGAACCGAAGAAAAAAACGAAAACAAAAAGCTTCACGCCACGACGCCCACCACCCATCGTGTGAGTCTTCTGCCCGGCGCCCCCTCCTCGCCCCCCTCCTACTCACGGGCCACAAAACAACTTCTTTCCCTTCAAATTCTCGCATCATTCTGCCTTTCTCTCTTTTCTGCTTCGCCTCTCTTTTATTCTCTCTTCTCCTTGAGGTCGCCACTCTCCTCTTCCTCTCTGCGAGATATTTGGAGTTTCCTGTTGGTTTTCTATGTGGCTCGAATTAAAATCTGTCTAATTCCCTCTTCTCTCCTTCCCTCCCTCCCCCTCCTCCTCTCTCCCTCGCTCTCTCTCCTCTCTCTCTCTTCTCTCTCTCTCTCTCTCTCTCTCTCTCTCTCTCTCTATATATTTATATATAATATATATAATATATATATATATATATATATATATATATAACATTATATACATACATAAATGCATAATATATATATATAATATATATAATATATATATAATTATATAAATATATATATATACATATAATATATAACATATATATATATAATATATATATATAATATATATATATATATACACATACATACAATACATACATATACAGATATTAACGTTGGTAATCAGATATCCTGAACTTTACCGGCAAACCCAGAATAGCTCATACCTTTAGTACCCGCGTGCTTGACCGACAGTTTGTTTGCCTCTCTCTCACTCTATTTTTGTATGTATGTTTTGTCTCTACATGCATACATACACACACACACACACACACACACACACACCACCCACACACACAACACCACACACACACACACACACACACACACACATAGAAAAACACCCTCAAATCCGAAAACTGCGCACATCAGGTGGGCCTTAAAAACAGCCAACAACCGGTAAATCGTAGCAATCGACGGCAATAACGACGCTACACGCGGCGCGACATAAGCGTGCATTGCTGAGTGATTTTGCAAATGTGCAGTCTGTTCATAGCTCGGTTTATGGAAATACTCGTCACGATCATCGTTTCGGCCGCTAACCATCATCACCATTATATCGTCATCGTCAACACTGATCATACCACCATCATCATAACAACCGTTAGTCATAACCAACCATCATTATCCATCATCAATTATCAATCACCCAACCATCATCATAACCACACTCATCCATCATCATTCCACCGGATGTCGTCTCATACACCACTGTCATATACCGACATCAATCGTCAATTCATCACTCATCATTATCTGTCTTCAACATCTGGTCTTTATATACTGTATTGGACGGGTTGAAGCGACAAGCGCTGTGTTCGTAATTTAGTGANATCAGATACCCGAAACACTTTTACCGGCAAACCCAGGAAATAGGCACTCATACCTTTAGTGTACGCATGCCTGCACCGCATCGAAAACTTGCACCACACAGGATGACCTTCTTTCAACACGCCAACACCGGTAAATTCGTGCAATAACGACGGCAAATTAACACACGCGCGAGACATAAACGCGTTGCATTGCTTGATGATTTTGCAAATTGTGCATGTCTCTCTTGTTCATAGCTCGGTTATTGAATCATTCCCGTCACGATTCAACGTTTCGCCCCTCATCATCACCATCATTATTCGTCATCTGTCAACATCATCATCAAAATCAATCAATCACCATCGAGTGTTCATAACACCTCGGCCGTTATCATCATTATCATCACCACACACCATTATATCAACCATCATCAATTCATCATCACCATCATCATAACCACGTTATCATCATTCACCTCGTATCATCATCATTCATCAGACATCCATCATCATTCGAAGTCTTCTAAATACTGTTATTGGCGTATTGAGCACAGCTGTCATACATGTGTTCGTAGCGTTTGAGTTGTAACGAGCGTGAGAGAGAAAAAAAGAAAAGAGGTAGGAGGACGGGAGAGGGAGCGGGAAGTGGCGGGAAGCAGGGGAAAAGAGACTGGAGAGAGTGAGATGCAGGGGGGGAGGAGAGAGAAGAAAGGAAAGAGGAGGAGGGATCCAGGAAGACGGAGAGAAGCAGGAGAGAAGGAGAGAGAGCCTAGACGATGATAGAGAGAGAGATGTGACTGGAAAGGAGACGAGAGAGACGACCTCGTCCTAGAAGAATGCAGAAGAGAGAGACTTGACTGACTGACTTACATGTACGGGCGCTTTTGTGTGTGTTGCACCCTCTTCGTGTGCGCAAAGCAGTGCTTTAAAGGTGTGTACACCCTCGACCGTATCTCCATGTACGTGCTTTTCTGTGTGTACACCCGTGTCTATATGTACGTGTTTTTATGTGCGTCCACCGCTATACTGTGCTTCCACGTGTGTGCATCGGCGACCGCGTTTACATGTACGTGGCTTTCCGTACGTTCACTAGCGACCGTGTTTTTTTTATGTGTACACCTGTGACCATGCCTACATGACCGTGCTTTCATGCGTGCGGATAGGCGAGCGTGCACGCGCATACACGTACGTTCTTCACACACGTACCCCCGAACGGAGTCTAACAAGTCCGTGGTCCTTTCGCGTGTTGCTCCCGCCCGCCGTGCGTGCGTGGGAGTGCGGCTTTATGAAACCGCACGGGCGCGCTCGGCCACCGCAAAAAAAAAAAAAAAAATAATAAGGGCATTTCGGCAACTGGATGAAACCGTATATTTCTAATTCCCGCGAGCGAGGAACGGCGACACTCGGGGACAGGCGACACGGGCGGGTTTCGCGCACGGGCGGCCGGGCGCGCCTGCGGACCGGCGAGCCTCGGGGTTGAAAAAAAAGGGGAAATAGAGATAGGAAAAGAGGGAGGGAGGAGGGAGGGAGGAGAGAGAGAGGGAAGAAAGAGGGAGAGGTAGGATAAAGAGGAGAGAGAATATGAGAATAAAGAGGGGAGAGAGAGGAGAGAGGGAGAGAAGATAAGAAAAGAGGAAGAGAATATGAGAAAAGGGAGAGAGAGGAGGAGAAGGAGAGAGAGATGAGAAAGAGGAAGAGAATGTAAGAAAGAGGAAGAGAAATATGAAAAAGGGAGAGAGAGGGAGAAATGAGAGAGAGACAGAGAGAGAGAAGAGAAAAGTTGAGGAGAGAATATTATATATCGAAAAAATCTAAAAAGATCTCCAACAGACTGAAGAATACAAAAAAGTAAGAAAGAAAAAAAAAACAAAAAACTAGGCCCTCTACACCCAAACAAACGACAAAGCACGACATCACCGGAATAAGCCGCGCCAGCCTCCCCGGACCCGTGCAACGCCTGCAACACCACCCGTCCCTTGCAGCAGCAGCACCCCCTCCCCCCCCTCCCTCCCTCCCCCCCCTCCCATCCTACGAGCCGAAGGAACCTCAATCATCTGGAACAGAATGTTGACCTTTTCGAGTTTGCAATTTCCGCCTCTGACCCCCGGAGAAAACGCTTTAAAAAGTTTACGCCCAAGAACGCCCACCTCCTGGCACTCGTGGGCGGCACTGAGGTCGTGGCAGCCCGTGGCACTCGCGGTAGGACATCCCTCTTAAAATATGTTTTGTGAAAAATGTAAAAAGAAATGTGTGTAGCAGCAATACGGAATAAGTTCCTGGAGATTAATTGTCAACAGCGGAGCGAATTCGTGTGAGATTAGCCAACGCGGTTCCAGCAGCGTGTGGCACTCCTCAACACCTCGTCCCGGGATCTAGTAAGCGGTGGCTACCGTGGCACCTCGTCCTCGGGATCTAAGCGTGTTGGCACCGTGGCACCTCGTCCTCGGGATCTAGTAGCGTCACGTGGCACCTCGTGCCTCGGGATCTAGTACGTAGCGTGTGGCACCTCGTGCTCCGCCGTTGGCACCTGGCTCTCGTCCTCGGATCTAGCGTGTGGCAGTCTCGTCCTCGGGATCTAGTAAGCGTGTGGCACCGTGGCACCTCGTCCTCCTCGTCCTCGGGAGTAAGTCGTGTGGCACCGTGCTCCTTCGTCCTCGGGATCCAGCAGCGTCAAATCTTGTGGCACAGTTCACTCGTCCTCAGGAGTCAGCAGCGTGTGGCACCGTTTTTCTCGTCGTCAGATCCAGCAGTGTGTCGGCACCTGTCGTCGGGATTCTAGCAGCGTGTGGCACCTCGTCTCGTCGGGATCCTAGCAGCGTTGTGGCCAGGATCTAGCAGCATGTGGCGTCCTCAGGATCCAGCCAGCTTGGCACCGTGGCCACCTCGTCCTCGGACTAGCCGTGCTGTTGCACCATGGCACCGTCCTCGGGATCTAATAGCGTGTGGCACCTGTCCTCAGGATCCATCAGCATGTGGCACCGTTTCTCCTCGTCCTCAGGATCCAGCAGCATGTGGCACCTCGTCCTCAGGATCCAGCAGCGTGTGGCACCTCGTCCTCAGGATCCAGCAGCGTGTGGCACCGTTTCTCCTCGTCCTCAGGATCTAGCAGCGTGTGGCACCGTTTCTCCTCGTCCCCGGGATCTAACAGCGTGTGGGCACCTCGTCCTCGGGATCCAGCAGCGTGTGGCACGCGGCACCTCGCCCTCAATCCGCGCCCCATCTCCTCAGCGCGCGAGAACGTCAATGCCGAATCAATCAGAGCTGCGGTATGAATATTGCCTCGGGGCGCCGCAGTCCCCCCGCGTGCAGCCCACAACCCGGGCGCCGCCCGATGCATCACGGAGGCCGATAACCCACGCTGCTGCAGGCCGGGGTGGGGATGGGGGAGGGGGAGGGGGAAGGGGCGTCCTGGAGGGAGGAGGAGAGGGAACAGAGGGTTGTGGGGTATGTTGTGGGGTATGTTGTGGTTGTTGTGTGTGTGTGTGTGTGTGTGTGTGTGTGTGTGTGTGTGTGTGTGTGTGTGTGTGTGTGTGTGTGTGTGTGTGTGTGTGTGTGTCTCCTTGTGTCTGTCTCTCTGCCTTAGCTGTGTGGATGTGGGTCCTAGTATGTTAGAATTCAGATTATATAAGATGTCAAAAAAAAAAAAAAAAAGAGAGAAAAAAGTCAATTTCCTATGGCTCCTCTCTCCTATTGTCGTGCACCGATGCCTGCCTCCCTCTGTGCATGTGTGTGTGTGTATGTTGTGTGTGTGTGTGTGTGGTGTGCGTGCGTGTGAGTACAAGGCGTCCGTGTGAGCGCGTACAGGAACCCAAAAGCCCCCAAGACCTGCCTTCCCGCCTCCATTTACGACTCCTCCTTCCCCTTCCTCGCCTCCGGACTCGCCCCTCAGGGACCCGCTCGCCGCCCCTGATCCCCTCGGCTCTCCTCCTCAGACGACGCTGCGTTCCCGAGGCCAAGATCGGCTCGCCACGCGCATCCCAGGCATCTTGCCCTCCATGCCCGGACCTCGCTGCTCGCTCGAGAACAGCTTCACGACTAAGTGCGAGCCGGCATCCCCTCTCCCTCTCCTCTCTTCCTCCGTCTCCCTATTCCTCTCTCCCTCCTTCTCTCCCTATCTCTCTTCTCTCTCTCCTATTCCTCTCTCCCTCCATCTCTCCTATTACTCTCCCCTCTCTCTGTTTCCTTTCCCCTCTCCTCCTTCCCTTCCCTCCTCTCTCTTCCTCCTCACCCTCCCTCTCTTCCTCCTCACCCTCTCACTCTTCCTCCCCTCCCTCTCTCCCTCCTCCCCTCCCTTTCCCCCTCACCCTCCCCTCTCCCTCTCTGTGCATCCAGCGCCATCCCGCACGAGCATCTTCCATCAGTGCCTCCGACCGGGCGCTGCGACGACAGATAGCGAGTCCGGATGGACCTCCGCGTCCTTTGACATCCGCGTCCTTGTTGACATCCGCGTCCTTGTTGACATCCGCGAGCTCTGTCGACGCAACTCGCCCCCCGACGCTATTACGCTGCGTTGCGGGGGCGGCCTCATTCTCCTTTTCGAGTGCTGTCAACCGGATGACTTTCCCGTTTCATCCGAATCCTCTCGATCCGTTCGCATTTGAGAGGAAGGCCGATCTTCACTTGGGAAAAAGTGAATTGTATCCATGTAAACTGCCTTGGCCTTCTAGGGTCCTCCTCGGAAGTCCTCCTCGAAGATCTTCCTCCAAGATCCACCTCAAAGCTCCTCTCTAGAAGTCCTCCTCCAAGATCCTCTTTAAAAGTCCTTCTCAAAGATCCCCCTCATAGCTCCTCCTCAAAAGTCAAAGGTCCCCTCAAAGGTCCTCCTCAAAGGTCCCCCTCAAAGGTCCTCCTCATAGCTCCTCCTCAAAGATCCCCCTCAAAGGTCCCACAAAAGCTCCTCAAAGTCCCCCTCAAAGGTCCCCCAAAGCTCCTCCTCAAAGTCCACAAAGCTCCCCCTCAAAGATCCACGTGTTGACTCTGGCGCGATGAACCGTCCCGAGCGCTAATTGCCTCTACAAGCCTCGGTGCCACGTGTGTGTCATGTCTGCGCTAAAACGATATGCAAATGAGGTCCCCCCCCCCCCCCCCCCCGACGCGGAATCACGGGCGTCGAGTCGCCTCCACGCTGCAGAGCCCTTGCGACGAGCTGTCATGGGCGCGAACTGGGCCGCCCGCGACACCTGGCCGCTCGCTCTGCTTCTGGCTGCAATGATCTGATAACGAAGTGAAAGATCTTTGTCGCGTGGAAGTTCTGATTCTGAATATCCATGACAGCGTAAAAGAATGTAATGATACCAGATGTTATCATACTCTCTTAGACATGGAGACACCCGGAAATAACAATTATAATCAGTTTATCGAAAGTAAACAAATAAATGAGCAGAATACCAATAATAGTAATAATCATCATTATCATTATCATAATAATAATCGTAATAATGACAGTACCACTCCTACTACTCCTACTACTAGTAATGATTCTATCAATAACAACAATTATTATTATTATCATCATTATCATTATTATAATAATAATCGTAATAATGACAGTACTACTCCTACTCCTACTACTACATAGTAATGATTCTATCCAATAACAACAATACACACACTAATAGAATTATCAAACTAAACCCAGCAAGGGGCGATGCCAATATGCCAAGCACAACTGTAGCAGAACACCCAGCAGCTACAACACAGTCGTCCCTCTAATGCGATAACCATTAGGCCAGACAGCTCCTCCTCCTCCTCCTCCCTCCTCCTCCTCTCCTTCTCTCTTTCTCTTCTTCTCTTCTTCTTTTCTTCTTCTTCTTCTTCTTCTTCTTCTTCTTCTTCTTTTCTCTCCTCCTCCTCCTCCCCCTCCTCTCCTCCTCTCCTCCTCCCTCCTCCCCTCCTCCTCCTCCTCCCCCCTCCCCTCCCTCCTCCTCCTCCCCTCCTCCCCTCTCCTCCTCCTCCCTCCTCCTCCTCCTCCTCCTCCCCCCCCTCCTCCTCCTCCTCCTCCTTCTGACTCGGTTCTAACAGCGAAGTGTCATTTAAAGCGTGACTGCATCTCTCTCCTCCAGTCACCGGACGTCGGAATCCGGTCGTGAGAACAGACCCCGAGATCCCCAGACAGTCAATCTCAACCGGACAGTCAACCACACCATTGTGCTCAGCGACCGCCCGCACCTGCCAACACACGCCCGCAGTTCACCTCCGCGTCCTTACCACACCTTTACGTGCTCATCTTCTAACCGTTTTTTTTTTTCCTCTCTCTCTCTCTCTCCCCTCCCTCTCTCTCTCTCTCTCTCTCTCTCTCTCTCTCTCTCTCTCTCTCTCTTCTCTCTCTCTCTTCTTCTCTCTCTCTCTCTCTCTCTCTCTCCTCTCTCCCCTCCCTCCCTCCCCCCTCCCTCCCTCCCTCCCTCCCTCCCTCCTCCCTCCCCTCCCCCTCCTCCCTCCCTCCCTCCCTCCCTCCCTCCCTCCTCTATCTATCTAGCTAGCTAGCTTATCTATCTATCTACCTATCCCCCTATCTATCTCTCTCTCTCCTTTTGACAGACGTAGCCCCTGTGTCACGGACGGGCTCCTTCCCTCCGCTGGGTAATTAGAACCCGGGCCGAAGGTTCAACTTAACGAGGCTTAAACAAACACGGCGGGGTTCATCACGCTACATCGCGGGTCGGCGGCGGGGACACGCGTGCAGAGCTGCGGGGGAGGGGATGGGGGGAGGGGAGGGAGGAAGGTGGGGAGGGGAGGTAGGAAGATGGGGAGGGAGAGAGGAAGATGGGGAGGGGACGGGAGGGAGGAAGGAAGGTGGGAGGGGAGAAGGTAGGGGAGGGGAGGGGAGGGAGGGAGGAAGGTGGAGGGAGGGGAGGGAGGAAGGGGGAGGGAGGGAGGAGGAAGATGCGGAGGGGGGTAGGAAGATAAAGAGAGGGGAGGAAGGAAGATTGGAGGTGGAGGGAGGAAGACGGGGGGTAGAGGGGGGAGAATATGCTAGAACATGTTGGGGAAGGAGGAGAGGTGACGAGGGTTGGGAAGGGGTAGGTGATAGAGGAAGTTGGGGAGGAAAGGGGGAGGGTCAAGGATGGAGTATGTAGGGGAGGAGGGCTTGTCCAAGTTGGAGGAGGGAGAGGGTCGGAACAGAAGCAAGTCAGGAGGAAGGAGGAAGGGGCAGAAGCATGCTGGGGAAGGAGGAAGGAGGGGAAGGGCAGAAGCGTGTTGGGAAGGAGGAAGGAGGAAGGGCAGAAGCATGTTGGGGAAGGAGGAGGGAGCGGCCAAGGTAGGAGAGGGGATAGAGCAACGAGGGGGGGGAGGGGGGGTAGAGTAGGGGCTGGAGCAGGCATTAAAGATGCACGGAGAGCCAGCTGGAGCGGCGTTCTCACGGGTACAGCATGCACGGCGAGGACTGGCCGAGGGGAAGTCTCATCAGAAGGGGAACCAGGTGCTGCAAATTACGACGTCAGCATAAAACAGCTGTTTCGCCCATATCCAGGGGAGAGAGAGCGGGACACATGGTCTCCGTGGCCGAGGCGTCTCCGAAATGCTCCCAGATGAGTCGCGACGCCCGCAGGGAAGGAGACGACTCACCTGACTCATCAAGGGACTCATCCTCGATGTCTGTCGCCTTTGATTCGTAGTCTGTTCGTCTCTCTCTTCCTTCTACGGGACGTTTATCACCCGAGTCGCGTGTGCCGATTCCAGTAATAATTAAACATTCGTTGTTTCTGCTAATTAACTTCTCAACCATATGGCGGTATCATAACATGCGCCGAACAGATGTTACTGCATAGTGGACATTAGTAATAAACTCGAGTGGGAATATATACCGTACTTGCAAACTTGGTCTACATGCAAACTTTCTCTCATATTCTCTCTCTCTCTCTTTCTCTCTTTCTCTTTCCTTCTCTCTCTTTCTCTTTCCTTCTCTCTCTCTCTTTCTCTTTCCTTCTCTCTCTTTCTCTTTCCTTCTCTCTCTTTCTCTTTCCTTCTCTCTCTTTCTCTTTCCCTCCTTTCCTTCTCTCTTCCCTTTCCTTTCTCTCTCTCTCTCTCTCTCCCTTTCCTTCTCTCTCTCTCTCCCTCTCTTTCCTTCTCTCTCTCTCTCCCTCCCTTTCCTTCTCTCTCTCTCTCCCTCTCCTCCTTTCCTTCTCTCTCTTCTCTCTCTCTCTCCTTCCCTTTCCTTCTCTCTCTCTTTCTCCTTCTTTCTGCCTCTCCATCTCCCCTTCTTTCTCTCTCAGGGGAGGAGGAGGAGGAGGAAAGGGGAGGCAAGGGAGTAGGAGGAGGAGGAAAAAGAAGAAGAGAAGGAGGGGAGGAGGAGGAAAAAAAAAGAAGAGGAGGAGAGAGAGAGGTAAGGAGGAGGAAGAGGAAAAAGAAGAAAAAGAAGACGAGGAGGAAAAAAAGGAAGACCTGGAAGAGGAAAGTAAAAGAACACGAAAAGGAAAGAGAGAAAAAACAAACAGAAGAAATAAAAACCCGACGAGGAGGATCAAAAGCGGTGAACCAGAAACACGAGGAAGAGGACACAGAGGACAAGGAACCCAGACGAGACACAACGAGACATCCACATGAGGCGCAGGATGCTTCGGCGAGCGCTCGTGAGGGTGCGTGAGGAGAAACGAGCCATGAGTGAGATTAGCAGACTGGCGAGAGGCGAAGGGAACGAGACACGAAAGAACACGCTGATAATAAAGCGGGGAACAGAGAGGGGGAGGGAGGGAGGGAGAGGGAGAGGGAGAGGGAGAGGAGAGGGAGAGGGAGAGGGAGAGGGGAGAGGGAGAGGGAGAGGAGAGAGAGAGAAGAGAGAGAGAGAGAGAGAGAGAGAGAGAGAGAGAGAGAGAGAGGAGAGAAAAGAGATCGAACATAGAGAAGAAAGAGAGCGAGACAGACAGAGAAAGAAAAAAAAAGAAATCGAGACAAACAAAGAAAGAAAGAAATCGAGACAAACAGACAGAGAAAGAAAGAAAAAGAAAGAGAGAATGAGAAAAGACGCAGAGAGCACGCACCGCGAAAAGTTTATGAGGGCAATGAGGTCGGCCACGGTATGATTTACGAGCCCAAGGACCGCACCGGGGATTATGAGGAGGGAGGAAATGAGGAGAGGAGCAGAGAGGCTGTTAATTTAACGGATGGCGAGGCGTGACGATGATCGAGAATGAGAAGCGACCGCGAGGATGAGGAGAAAAGGGGAAGGGCGTGAGGGGGAAGATATGTCATGCGAGGAAGAGAGGAGGCGAGGAGGAGGAGGGTGAGGAGGCGAGGAGGAGGTGAGAGGCGAGGAGGAGGAGGAGAGGAGGAGGAGAGGAGGAGAGGGTGAGGAGGCGAGGAGGAGAGAGTGAGGAGGCGAGGAGGCGAGGTGGAGAGAGGCGAGGAGGAGAGGTGAGGAGGCGAGGAGGAGAGGTGAGGAGGCGAGGAGGAGAGGGTGAGGAGGCGAGGAGGAGAGAGGGGGAGGAGGCGAGGAGAGAGGGTGAGGAGGAGGAGGAGAGGAGGAGGCGAGAGGAGAGGGTGAGGAGAGCGAGGAGGCGAGGAGGAGAGAGGTGAGGAGGCGAGGAGGAGAGAGGTGAGGAGGCGAGGAGGAGAGGAGAGGAGGCGAGGAGGAGAGAAGGTGAGGAGGCGAGGAGGAGAGAGGGCGAGGAGGAGAGAAGGTGAGGATGTAACCGCCAAATGATGACGTCAATAAGAATGATGGAATGACAGATTTGATATTAATTGAATTGTAATTAAAGCAGTGTGTGATGATAATGAAAATGATGAGAATAACAATAATAATAACGATAATAATAAAAATATAAAGATAGTTCTAATAATAATTGAATTGTAATGAAAACAGTATATAATAATGATGATGATGATGGTAATAACAATAAAAAATAATAATAATAATAATAACAACAACAACACTAACAATAATGATAATGATGATTATAATTATACAAATACAATAACAATAACAATTATAAAAATAACAGTAACGTTGTTGATGGTGATGATGGTGATGAAAAC